TCTCCTCTTTTTATAAGCTCATCAGCCTCTTCTCACTCCTTTATCTTCTTCCTCTCCTCCTTTATGTCTTTCGGCTTTCCTTCCTCCTCTCCATTATTAAAAAATGAAACTAAGTAATTATCGGAACTTGTCAAATATTTTCTAAACGTCTGAGTAAAAGCGCAGTTGGACAGTAAATTAAATTTGCCCGTATTTAGAAAAAGTCACACGCGCGTGATGGATCATAAACACGGATTGGCAATCAAAAACACCAATTTATCATTTGTTTCGTTAAAATAGAGCGATTTTTCATCAGGATGCGCAAATTTAAACTATCTGACAGCAAAATTTTGCAAAAAGGTTAGTGCAAAATGGCGGTCAGACGTTAAGGTGAAACTGCCCATATTCAAGTAAAGTCACTCGAATTCGATGGAACAGAAGACAGATTGATATAATTTTGATTTCCAATCTGCATTTTGTGTCATCATATGGGAGTGAATTTTCTTTAATTAGCGCACTTACTAAGCTTTCTCACTAGTTTCTCGCACGAAAGGTTTCGAAAATATTTGACCCCGTTCCCATATTCAGTTTGATTTTTTTTTTTTAAAGTGTTCTTCTCCTTCCTATTTTAATTGCTCTCCTTTCTCAGAGTCCTGATGCATTCTCACATGACACAATTAAGAGTCAGTACGAGTTAAGAGTCATACGACCTGAGTCTGTCACGTGAAGGTTAATATCATTCATCATTATTTTATGGATATTTTAAATTTACATTTATTTAACTTCTGATCGGTTTTCTTCATTCAACGATTTCGCAAATAAATCACCAAGCAAATCTCTTGTTCGCGTGCACTTATCATTTCCTTGTTTCTATGCAATGGAAAAACTTCAGAAATTATTGGATTTGCGGACACCGAGGACAGAAAGAGAACGAAATCCCGTCTTTGGACACAAACCAGGTGTGTTGCGCGACTCAATGGCTTAAGTCTATGTTTGAGCATAAAGCATGCGCTTTTATCGTTTAACACTTTTAATCAGCTTAGTATCAGGAGTGACGGCACCAGGTCCGACAATGAGTACCGCAAACAGAGCCAAATTGAGCCCAAGACAAAGGCTCAAGAGCAAGTTTTTTTAGGTTTGTTTCCTGCTTTTGGCAACCGTGTGGCAGGTTCCGGCCGATGCCCGCTGGTCAGAGTTCATTTTTCATCCTTGCGAGATTACGAAACCTCCCAAAATATGATACTCGAGCCTCTATGCTCCGAGAACCCCCTTCGATTCCATGAAGATTAATTTCGGTACCGAGTATCGGATCATGAATGAACAGAGTTGTCATGTTGCCTGAAAATTTAGTTACACCCAAAAGAAACGAAAAAAATCTAAAAAAAAATTAGATTTTTTTATGATAGAATTAAAAATATGTTTTTTGCTCTTTTTTTTATCTCACAGAATTTCTTCCGGTCTTAGGAACCCAAGACGAGTCGAGGACTAAAGTTTTGGGCCCTTTTTTTGCCCTAACCATTAAAATTTTTAAGGATAAAAGTATAAGAAATTGGATACAGAAATACGAGGAAAAGGAAAGAAAAAGGACTATTCCATATTGAAAAAACTCCTAACTATACTTCCTCAGGATACTTCGATACCTCTTGTCCTTGTCCTGGTCTCTTCCCAAGACAAGAGACCCTCCACTGGCCTCTTGGCGACAGGTGGAAACTTCTACTTTCGGGGATTCAATACTTCCTTACGGACAATTAGACGTATTTCTACCAAACAGAACTATGTGCAGGTGGGAATAAAGATGGGGTGTGCTCGTTAGTCGAGGGCCTTAAGAATGAATGGGAATCATAAAGCATACATATTTATTAAAATGAAAAATTATAATAAGGTCAGCGGCGACGGTCGAGCCAAAGGGCGTTCCGTTTGACAGGACGTAAAATCCCACTTTTCCAATTCAGCAAACGGAACTACATGTATGTGCCAACTGTTTGAGAGACTTATGAGCCATAAGCATGTGTCTAAGGTGCTTTGGACAATGCTCATGAGTTAATGTCTCCGATTGTCGTTCCACGGCTTTATCGTCGTCGCTGACGTCACGGGCGCTTTATAGTTCCCATCCATCCTGACGGACCTCGACTAACGAGCACATCCCATCTTTCCCACCTGCACATAGTTTTGTTCGGTAGAATTACGTTCAATTATAAAGGGAGCAACTGTCACAACCCTTTTTTCGGCTGTTACCTACCTACTTGGAGGATGATGAGCTTTGGGTGACGTCATGAGCCAAACAGGTTTCCCAGACTTCAGTTGAACTTTCCTTGAATGCTGGAGTCCCGGAAGTTAAATGCCTTCTCCATCGCTAAGATACCAATGGAGGGTATCTTGTCTCTGCCCCTTCCTCTTCTCCTAGGAGGTAAAATGAGAGACAAGAAGCAAGAGACAATCCACTGGCCTCTTGGCGACAGGTGGAACCTTTCACTTTTGGAGATTCAACATTTCCTTATGAACAACTGCACGGGGGCAACAGCCATCACCCTTTTTTCGGCTGTTGGCCTAACTACAGGGTGGATGATGAGCTTCGGGTTACGTCATGAGCCGCACAAGTTTCCCAAACTTTGGTGTGTTTGCAAAACGAAACTCCCAACGCGCTGTTCACCATCGACCAAGTAGGTAGGTCAACAGTTGAATATTGAGGTCCCAAAAGTAATAGCTTCCACCATTGCCTGAATACTGGTCCAGGGTCTCTCGTCTCTGGGTAGAACTTTCCTAGAAGTCTCATCCAGCTTTTTACTTTCCTGGGAAACCTTGATCTCTGGACCATCCCGCCATCCTGATCTCCTCTGCGAGCGAGCTTTCCCGATATTTCTCCTCCTGATTTCCAGGACCTCCCGCGAAACTTGGGTCGACGGAATCGGGAATCCACCCGTTGGGGCCGCATCCTATTGGACGTATTTCTGCCAAACGGAACTATGTGCATTATGACGTGAGCCCTGTTATGCACGTATCTAGAGTACCTGTATAGGGAGAGTACCGAAAGATCTGAAACTCCGAAAGTCCATCAGGCCTTCACCGATGCCTCCGCGAATAAAGTTAGGGCTTAAAAGGGCAGCCAACCTATGCATTTCAATTATCCAGAGCGATTTACTGATACTACTTTTACGAACCGTCCTTTATTAAGCACGTGTTTGACTCAGTTTTTGCATAAATTCACTCAATTTCGCGGAAGAACGCTCATTTCTGAACATTCTTGGCCATCTTGGTTAGAATTGGAATCTGCAGACTGGCAGTGAAATTTTGTGCGTTAGAAGTTGGTAAGAAGGGTGGCTGCACTTTTGAGCCCTAAGCCCTCCTTGAACCGATCTGTCGGTAGGTCTCAGGGCTCACGTCATAGTGCACTTAGTTCCGTTTGGCAGAAACAATTCCAATCGGCGGGTAGACACTTGACGTGTTGCTGGGAGTCGTGGATTAGTTAAAATTCAAGCCCGAGCGTTGTCTGGCCGGGGTTGGGGCCGCTGCGCCGCCGGGCCGGGCCGGGGCGGCTCAAAATCCGAGGACTACTGTGAATACTAACACCGAGGTCCATGACCCGACGGCTGCGCGCCCGCTCCCGCTGCGCCCGGCACCGGCGAGTGCAGCGCCCATTCAAGCCCGACACCTCCGGGCCCTGTCATCGGCCGTCCCCGTCCGATCCGTGTACCCGCTCCGTGTTCCATCCACATTCTCGCATAACGCCCTGGTAATCAGCCCCAGGACCCCGGGTTCCGACGCGCTTCCATCACCCCCTAGGACTCGCCCGAACAGGGGCCATCTAGAGTATCTATATAGGGAGAGTATGGACATGTCGAAAATTTTGAGGTTCAGATTCCACTCGGCCTTAATCCCTGAAAATTTGAAAGCCTGGAGCATGGATGTGCCTATATCCCATGATGTCTATAAGGACAATAAATACTGCCTATCGATGGCTGTAGGTTCCAACGGAATATAAGCCACTAAACCAGCAAAAAAAAAAAAAAAAAAAAAAAAAAAAAAAATTGAGGTTAGGTGATGGAGCTCTTCGATCCCGAAAGGGTAGGCAATCTATGAATTCAAATTATGCGGAGTGATTTATGATCACAATTGTTGGGAACTGTCGTTGGTAGAGCACGTATTTGACTTGGTTTTTGCATAAACTTACTCGTTTCTGTGGAAGTATGCTTACTCGTGAATTTTTTTGTCCATTTTCGTTTGATATTGGAGTCCAAAGATTGACAGTAACATTTTTCGCTTTCAAAGGTTACCTACCCTTTTGGGCCCTACGAGCTACATATTTCGAGTTGCCCATACTCTCCTTATATAGGTACTCTAGGGCCATCCACAAATGGGTCAGTTGCGGGCTCTTGTTGAAATTGATAGACAAAGCGATAGACAAAGATGAATTAGAGAGTACGGAGCGATCCTGTTGGTTGAAATGGTTGGTTCCTGCAGACTAAGGGAGAAAATGATGGACTTACTATAGGGTCTCTGGTGGGTTGCCGTTAGTTAAGTCTATTAATTATCTCCCTTCTTTGTCTATTGCAACCATCCGTCTCCACCCTACCAATAGGATCCTTCCATGTCCATTTTGTATTTTCCAAGTCTATTCACGTCAAAATTCACCAGCCTGTTGCGTATCGATGAATTAGCCGATACGGGGCGTCGTTCTACGTTTCAAGTGACGAAAATATCAGAAGAGTAGTGTGATCAGAGCTTGTGAGTCTATCACTGTTTCCATTTCCCGGAACTAGTACCAAATTCCGGAACTTTTGAGATTTTCCTGGATGTTTCCCGGAATTTTTAAAATTCCCGAAATGTTCCGGATCTTTCGCATTTTCCAGAGCTTTCTCAGAACTTTTGATTAAATCTAAAAAGAATCCCGGAACTTTTGACGGTTATGCAGTGGCAGCACTAAAGTTCACCAACAGCCTGAAACGATCACACACACACACATTTACCGCCACCTGAAAACGAGTGAAAATATTATAAATGATTAAAATAATCGGATATCCCACCTTGAGATCCGTCCGATCGGCGGGGGGCTGGAACTTGTAGAGCTCCTTGAGCCGCTCGTGGAGTCCGGCGTTCTCGTAGAGGGTTTTGAATGGGTTCCGCGTTGAGAAGAAGTCCAAATCCACGTCCAGAATATACGGCTCTCCTGCTGATACGTATTTCTCTATTATCTCTTTGATAGCCGTGAAATCATCCTCCTGGAATCATAATTCTTTCCGATCAGGACAACTATACTAAACCATTACATTCAGTGATACATCATAGCCACAAATATATAGTCTTCTCTGTGTAAGCGGCTTGTAGGTATGGTTCAAGATACCAGATTACTAAATCTCAGAATTGTTGCTCAAAATTCATTGCTTCGAATGAAATTACTACGGATTTTCTAAAGGGATTTGTACATATTTTTGAGACGTTCGAGAAAACATCGCACGAAAATTTGTGCGATAAATATAAAAAATCAGTCATCCATCGAAAGAGAAAAAAGTAACAGGAAATATGCAAACTGACAAACCGTGTATCTGCTTTAAATGATGCAGTTTCACATCGATTAAATTGAATTAACATTCTTGAATCAACATTACAGTAGATCGATACTACACAACTTAACTGTTTTAATTTTTGCAGAGTAGGAAAGTCAGCCGATATGACCTCTATATGAGCATTGATTGTGTATCTTATGACCCTTGGTGAGTGAACTAAATAATAAATAGTGATTATAGGAGACAGCAGCCACCCTGGAAGGGTTGGCACAACTGACACCATCTCTCACCTCTGCGCTATCAACGCGGCGTGCAGATTTTTGCATATGTTAAACCTCGCACCCTTTCTTCCCCTATCCATTCCCTCAGTCACTCGATTAAAATCACGCCAAAAGAAAAAAACCTATCAAAATGAAAGAAGAAAAAAACTGATTTGAATACAGAGGCTCCGGTCATGGCCTTCATCGGCGAGCTTTGTAAAAGTTGAAATCGCACAATAGAGGCCCGAATTCAACCTTCCTTTTTTTGAAGCTTTTTTTTCTTCGTGTCGATTTTTGTTTTTTGTTTTACTCATCTGTAAGTCACGCGTGTAACCCTTCCTTCCTTCCACTCGGTTTGCGCATGTTCAACCCCACCCTGATGAGGGACAAAAACGTTTGGGGTGAGGAAAATAGGCATAGATCTACCCGCCGAAAAAAAGAAAGAAAAAACTCTAGAAAAAACCAGGCTTCATAAGCCACGGGTAAGAGCACGTTTTTTACGATGTTTTGGGCTAGCATTAATTTGATGGGTGATCATTTCAACCGGTCGGCCAGCGCGTGGAGTTAAGCAAGCGTACCGTCGGGTCGCTTTGCCTGGCAAAAAGACTTAAGTTCCTTCTCACGTGAGCCTCTGACAGAAGTATTAAACCAGCAGCGGGCGGTCCCTGTTAAAATTGAGTTGCATGCGCTCTTTTTTCGGCAGAGCGACGATATTGAGTGGAAAATTACAATAGTGGTGAGCAGGATTGAAAATTCTCCTACTTTTTACTTCACTTTGTGTAATTTTTTTCGGTTCTATTGTGTACATTAAGTGTCGCCCGATTTAAATCTTTCGACCAGTTGTCACTTGGGATTCACCTCCTCTCCCTACCCATAGAAGCAGCGAAAAATGCGTGGAATAACCGGTTGCCACGCTTATCGCTGAATTTGAAATTAGGGCATGTTGTTATTTTGAAGTTGTGGAATTAGAGAATGGTGACATTTAAGAAGCCGGTGGGGAGAGGGGAGCGAGGAAGGAGAAGAAAACTCGAATGGATGTAGAATGAGGAGCAAATGAAAATATTTGGAGAAAAATCAAAGCGTGAAAATGGATGCATGGATGTTGCAAGAAAATTACAATCGATGGCAGTTGCCAAGTCTGCCGAGCTGCGGAAAAACGACGTATGAGCCATCATGCGTTGCCACATTGCCTTCGAAAAACAACGAATTTTCGGGAAAATCTGCGAATATTTCTATTCCAATTTTAAGAAGGATGAAATTTGATCTGAAAAGTCTGAAAATCACGAGGAAAAATATTCGTAACTTTCTCCAAAAATAAATATTCTTCGAGTGGAAATTTGGCAACATTTGAATACTCATACGGCGTTTTTCCTTAGCACGACAGATGTGCCTTCCGTGTTATCTCAGAGAATTGCAACGATTTGCATAGGGATGATAAAGATTCCCTCTTTAAAGCCACTAGACGCATCCAAGCACCATTATTTCCAAAAGAACCGCGCCAGTGCTGAGGTTTACTCAAGCTTAAGACGTGGATCTGCCAATCCATCCTAAAATGAATCGGACAAGAACCTAAAAAAAGAAGTAAGAACAAGTATCAACCGAAGCCCAAGACAGAAAAGACTATTCGGGCCTCTTGTTTAACTTTTCTCCCGAATCTGAGCGACACCTCATGGACAGCATATAGCAGAGCATTGAGAGCTCACGCTTCGCGTCATCGCGCCTTCAATTTTTCAGATGCAGCACGGACGCCCATCAAGTGCGAATAGTTGTATCTCTGCGCCGTTGTGAACGCGCATCCTTTCCCTCACTTTATTTCCATATTGTATTTGTTTGCGTTTGTCTTGTTGCTTCAAAGGAGGAGCAAAGAGCAGAGCATTGCGAGTTCATGACTCACGCCATCGCGTCTTAAATTTTTCAAATGCACTTTAGATGTCTCTTATTTTTGAATTTAGAGATAAATTAGGATTAAGTTTGCTCAAGATATGCTATGATATGTATAAATCAATAGTTATGTCGAAAATGAAGAAATATGTTTAGAGGTCTTTAAAGGCGCTAATCGACTGCGCTTTCATTTTCCTGTGATACTCCACGTAATGTTATCTAGTTAGTATAGTTATTCCTGTTTGGCCTATAACCCAACGAAAGTCAATCACACTAATGCCGGCCGCTACGTCGCATGTGCATGAACAGAAATCGTCTATTTTTATTTAACGCATAGGTCAATTCGTACTCTAGTTTTGTCCGTTTACCTCTGATTTTACGTGTTTTAATTTTTCATCGGATACTTGCGAATATTCTGCCGACGATAGCTATCTGTGACTTACATGTAAAATAATTAACAGTAACATGCAATTTGTAGAGAAAAAAGGCTCATTGTAACAGTTGCATTGGTTCCTTGCGTGTAATTCAACTAAGGTAGATTTTTTTTTCATATGAACGGGAATTTTGAATTTAAATGATAATATCATGGCCAGAAGTTACTTTTATTCGTGCCTCAAATCGTATTCAACGTGAAACTTTTTTAATTTTCATGAGAAAACTTACACCATAATTATTACTTTGATTTGCACACCATCTAGAGGTCCTTTTCTGGTACGGTTGTTATCCGTATCGTGACTTATCACTGGACAGAACTGAGGGTCAGAAAACTGATTTTTCCATGCAGAAGGTAGGTAAGACGTAGTCCGCTGTTTAATTTGGCATGCTCTAGTGAATGTTGAATGTCTTTGACATCTGAGCCCTTAAGCACTGGTGAAAAATCACCCAAGAATGGACACCGCCGTTAATCAAGGGTTTTTTTACGACATCGGATGGCATGGCGTAAACTTGATCTTGGGAGAGTTGTGTATCTACTTTTTATATCGTTCGCCTGGAACCATGGATGGCCAAACCGTGTTGTCACTTCATTCGGACGCAAAGTGGCGTCGCGTCGCATCTACTGGGGCAATAATGTCAAATTAATTAAAATAAGTTTACATTTTTCTACAACAGTTTTGTACTTTCGATGGAAATAATCGATATTTATCGGAGCTAGCAAACTCACCTAGAATCAGTGCTCATGGTGGCTCTAAACGGAAGAAAAGAGTTATCAACTTCGACCGCAGAATTTCGAATCGATGGGCTGCTGTTGGCAGCTCTGGTATGGCGGGGAGCTACGATTTAAACCTTCTTCTCAGCTCTCCTCGAATAAGGCAAAACCAGTTTGATTGTCAGAGGGCAGAGGCAGAATGCTGCTAACCGTGCCCAAGTTCATCTTTTGCTTTCAAATTTTGTGAGTTTCTGTTTGATACACTTTTTAATGTGATTTTCTTATCGACATGATAGGTTGTCTTGGGAGAAGTTACCTCAGAAGAGGACCGCATCATCATTTTCAGGAAAAAAGTGTTCTTTCTCAAAGATAAGAATCGATCTAATTAGCGAGTGGTCCAGGACGGAGTGAAAGACAATTACAACACCAATGACACGGACTCAGGACACTGTACTTCTTGATGACTTTGTTCATAATATTGATACACCATGGTTCCCATGGTATCATAGTTTACAATGGTATCATGGACGTATTTTTGATTATGTTATGTGCCAGGCAGCTCATGCAAATAATGTACATCATTGACTGATGGGTCCACTGAAAAGCAACCACTATTGTATGTCAGGGTCGTATTTACCTACTTGCCACCCCCCTCTCATTCGTTTTGAAACATCAATAAAAACCATCAAGTGAACGTGCCAGCGGGGATGGGGCGCACAAGACGCGTTTACTCGTGTTGGAAACATATTTTGGGATAGCCCTGTCAACACTACTAGCAAAAATTCACCGAACTTTGCGCGAACGTTAAGTTTCGTAAACCTATCTCTGAGTGGACAAGCCTTCCATTCATAAGAAATGAACGAAAAAATTATGAAAGAACAAACATAAAAGTGGTTTAATGATTTTAACTTCCGCCACCGCGCCGCGCAGACCGCACCGTGTTTGGAGCAATGCGTGAAGTATTCCCAGAGTCTTGTAGGCGCTATGCGTTTCACGCTGACCGCACTGTGTTTGATGCAATGCGTGAAGTATTCGTGCAGTCTTGTAGGCGCTAATGTGTGTTACATGCCGACCGCCGCGCCAAGGTCTTCTCCTTTTCATCTCAAACCCTCGTCATCATTTCTCTCTCAGTCGCGCCGTTCCTGGCCAAATTGCATGTTTGGTCTCTCTCTTAGCTCGATTAATTATAGGTGCTGTCTCTTGTATCACCGAAAGACGAGAAAATTAGGAATTACTATACTCTCAGGAAATGAGAGATTTTGTTTGTAATTTTTTTCTAAATCCGATTCGTGTTAAACCTACATTTAAAAAAGTTGCAAAATTTGCCGCCTCCTAGATTTGCCGCCATGGGCCGCGGCCCATGTGGCCACCCCCTTAATCCGGCCCTGCTGTATGTGCTAACGAAGTTGATGACACGGTCCACGAAG